TTGTCCGCCCACGAGGTGCCACCGCCACGCAAACGATTAGACTCTTCCCAGGATGCCGCGGAAACGGAAAACGAGCCTAGCTTAGAATTTCTGGGCCCGAAACTCGAGGAACGTGGGTGTCTATTGTGCTGGAGGGTGGCGTGCAAATGTTCGAGGCATTGAAAGACATCAGATTTTGATATTTAAATATCAACAAAGTTAATATTGTCTAACAATTTTTAATTGATCAAGAGTGGCCTAGAATCTTTAGGAAAAAACGCTTGCAATTTGGAGAGGTACGAGGTCGGAGCACCGACGAAATTAGATGTCACCGGAAGAGCTTTAAAAAGAGGTTTCCAGGACGCGGGGGATATTTTCGTCCCCATTGGAACGTTTAAGATAAGATCCGCATACCAGCGGAAAACACGGATTCCACCGAAGAATAGAGGAAGAGCTTTCTCCGTGGTGAAAAGATTCGCCGAGGGCGAACGAGGATTCTCGTTGCTTTTAACCCCGAGGAAACCCTTGACCTTCGGTGAATTGAGAGAAGGAGCTCGCTACACGTTTTACCTCGTCCGCCATTGTAAGTGCCTCTTCCGGCGTGGAACAACTCCGACCCCGTTCTCTGTGTTGTTGTCGAAGGTTAAAGGTACCAACGGAAGACTCCTCGTCACACGTATGCAGAATGCAACCGTAATTTATCTCGTCAGACGCCGCGTATTAAGAGGCGAAAGAAAACTGCACGCCCTAAAACGGAGCCTCGCCGAACTATGTGGGAATTCATCTTCCTTAATGATATAGCTGTACCTCGACTTTGCACCTAACGTACGCTTGTGGTTATAAGTTTGTTAAACGACCGCCTGTTCCCATACTCGGTCTCAAAAATAGTCCACGCGAGCGATAAACATTTTGATCTTTTTAATTTCACAAAATGTACAAAAATTAAGATACGAGTTCGTGTCTTTTAGCAAGTGTCGCTCGAGTCGCGCCAACGAGGGGAATAAAAATTAATTTCCAGCGTCATGATTTCCTCGTTTTCCGTTCTCCCGACGCCGAGAGCGGCTTTGCTCTGCCGATAATCTCTTCGAAAAATAATTCCCTCCGGCGGCGCGCAAAAACTCGCGAATCGAATCCGCTAGAGAATTTACGAACGGTCGGGAGAACTCGAGGCGCGAAGAAACCAAGCGGTTCGGTAGAGGAGGAGGGCAGAATCTTCTCGAATCGAAAATCACAATCGCGGGATCGGCGTTGCTCGCCGCCAGAAGCCCGGCGTAGCTTCATTACGTCCGTGGCAAATCGCAATCTACGAGCAATGAGCTTCTATCGTAAAGAACAGGCACGTAACGTCCGCGGTTTTTTGCTCTGGCTATCCCCTCTCCACGCGCCAGCGGTTCTTTCTCCCTTCCTTCGGGGCCCTTTTTCCCCCCTCCCGCCGCTACCGGCCTTTCTTCTCGCTCGTTCTGGCACTCGAGGTCCCCGCTCGGCGCTCGCATGGCCGTCGATCGACGGACGCTTTTTGCTGATAATTTCGCGGAATGGAAAAGTCGTGATCGAGGAAGCGTCTTCGACGTTGCAAGGACGCGACGTTTCCTTCGATCTGTCGTCACGCTCCGACTACTCGGGGCCTGAGGAGGGCCCGAAAATTCGGGACAGCTGCGAGTGTCGATCGAAAAGCGCGGGAAAGAACCGAGTTTCCTACTCGGTGGGTTCCTCGCAAAACTCACTCTTGCGATTTCGAGTGTCTGGAAGTTTCGTGGGATTCGTGAGCAGAAGTCAGAATTTAAAACAGACCCAAATCGGAGGAAACGTTTTTGAGCTATTGCGTTCGCAGCAACAGGTGTAATGATAGCGACCGAGATTGGATCAATGATGGCCGGTCGTAATAACTCATTTATGGTCTGACCGTTTAATTTTAAGAGCCACGAAACTATCTACGCAACACAAACGAAAAATAATCTACAAAAATTGTGAATTTATACTTCCGATAGAGAACGATTGCTCGTAATTAGTGTGTCAGTCTTGATCCGCCATTACGTTTCTCTTTTAACGACTAAACCTCCCGTCCCTCGAACGCTGCTACTATCAGATTCCGAAAACGTGAAACATTCAATAATTCAGCGATGTATTTTTTGTAAATCTCGTATTAAATAAGACGCTAGGCCTCGCGCAGAGGATGCAGTCGCTAAACGTCAAAAGTTTCCATGAAAAATTCCACACGGAGATCGTCGAGACGCGTTTCCATGGAACGACGACGACGTCTGGTCGTGTTTATTTTTTAAATTCAGATGCAACGCGTCTGGTGGCTGTCGAACATTCGCGCTCAGATTTACTTAATGTCGTGGATGCATAATTGCGTCCAGCTCGGGTTTGGCATTTTCTAGAACGTTGTATCCGGTAACGCGTAATATTCCTCGCGTGTTCGACGAGGCTTTTCCATTCTTTTTCGTCGAATTTTTTTGTCCTGCGCGCCTGTGTACGTTTCGGTTTTATTTCCTTTTTTTCTTTTTTTTCTCCCTCTCTCTCCCCCCCAGCAGATCGAGACTGGCCGACAGTTGTGACAACAGCGGCGCGAGATGCGAGCCCCGGGTACACCTTGCGTGGATATGTTTGCGCGCGGACCGATGCCGTCATGACAGCTCAGATAACGGGCGTGACATTTTGAAAAATTGAGGCCAACGATGCGAACAACGTCAACGAAATGCATCCCCGTCGTCCCCGTTCCTCCGTGCCCCGAAAAAAAAACCCGTGTACGCGGAACCGTACACCGGTTCACCATTAACACGCTCGATATATCCAATTTTGAATTACGGCCGGATATTCGCGAGAACGCGCCAACCTTTTCGACCGGAGAGAACCCGCGGACCTCCATGCGTCACGAAAGAGAACCAGCTCGAATATTATCAAACCCCATTCGAGAATAACTGGAAAGTTTATTGGGCGATAGCGATTAAATAAAATATAAAGATTGACAAATATTTTCATCGTGCTAATGTAGGATATTTGTGTTGAATGTTTGTGTCACGCTGCAGTTCGGTTCGGAGATGTGTGTTGAATGTTTGTGTCACGCTGTAGTTTGGAGTAATGTGAAGTTATGTGCAAAAGGATTGAGTGTGTTTTGTTGATAAAGAAGGGGTTACCAGGGACAGGGAAACAACGGGTAGAGAGGAACGAGTGATTGAAAGAGACAGACGTGGTTTGAATTTGTGTGGATAATTAACGAGATTTTGATTTGTGTAAAAAGATTGTGTGTTTATTGTGTTTCAAATTCGTTCATTTAGTTATATTATTTGTACATTTGTTCCAAATACAATTCTTTTTCGGTAAATCCTACACTAATGATGTATAAACTAATGGTAATTGGTTTGAATTGGTGAGTATAGAAAACAGTCCGGAATAAATTCGAAAAATATAAGTAGAATGTAGGATGTGGAGAATAATAATAGATGAAAATGCAAACTAGAATTACTTTATATCCTGCGCTTGGACGTAACGATAGTAAGAGAAAAACAGCAGATAATAGTCCAGATGTCTCATTAGATGACAAAGTAAATGGGACAGTATACATAACTGATAGTACAGAATACCACGGACATAACGTTCAGGTAGAAATACAAAAGGCTGCCACCTTGAATGCATGCAGAGTGTTATACGACGTATACGACGTACAAATATAAAAACGAAATATATTATAAGTCTCTCCGGCTGGTTTTGCCTAGGATAGCGATGGAACCAGCGACAAAGATGGCTAATTGTTCGGAGCGGAGCGGATAGGAAACGGTAAACGAGCAAAGGCCACTGGCCCAAGTAACAAGGACAAAAGTCGAGAAGGAATCCATAATGGCAGGTCGACATTGAGCTGGCTGGAGCATCGGGCGTCCAGCCGAGGAATACACCCGAGTTATTTAAAAAGCCCACTGTCCGTTATCTCGATCGGAGAACGCGGAGAGTCGTTTGAAATATCTCTTCCTCCGGTGTTTCGAAGGTCTGCCATTCAGAATGGCTGCCACACGGCCGGCCACGAGGAAACAAAGGCGCAGCGCCGAGTTCCCGAACGTTTTTCTCCTCTAATTACCGCCGCGGAGTTTTGCATACGTTTCCTCTGCGCGCGTTCAAATCACCGGGAACGCGCGCGGGGACCTCGAAAGGAAAACGAAAGTTCCGGGGACACGAATTCTAGATTCTAGCCTCTCAAAAACGGTAGAGCGACTTAGAAATTTGCCCGATGGAGAGAGACATTGCTCGTAGTTCACAGGAAACGTCGTGCTTCGAAAGAGAGGAAGCTTCAACGCCTCGTCTGGTTTCGTTTTCCACCGGACGTGCACTTTCTTGCAGTTTCCTTCGCCTAATTACCGTGATGGTGGTGTACGCGTGTTGTTGTTCGCTCGCGTTTAAATCACCGGGACTCGAGCAATCGTGGAATTGGAAAGGAAAATATAAGGTTCGAATACAGCGACGAGCTAAATTATTGGCATTTGATATCCTGTCAAAAGTGGAACGAATTTTACTTGTTTCGCGATTAAAAATAAATGATTTATCGCGTTAAATGCTGTTTCATTTTGATAAATTGGTATAACGGAATACGGTGATAGCAGAGCATAAAAATTCGGAAAATCGCGTGACTCGATCAAAATGAAAAAAGGTACCATCGATGGTGGGAAGGAAACGCGTGACTTTGTAGCGTCCCGCGTGCGATTAGATTTTCTTACGGGCAGTGTGCCCGCTTCCCGTAATTTCCATCGACAATTAAACGCTTCCCGTCTGGGGGCGGCGATCCGAGGCATCTTTTCTTCCATCGTCATTCTTCAAAACGAACGCGCCGGGTGGGCAGCGCGCGTCCGTACGTATCCCGGCGTGCGATCACCAGATAAAATTGAACGATTAGGCGCAAACGAGGCGAGCGTGCTCGCATACGGAAGAAGAAACGACTCGATGGACACGGTCAACGGAGAAAAGAAAACAACGGGTAAGACATTTTTATCATCGGTGGTCTACGCGACACTGCAAATAAGGAAAATACTCACCAACGAGTCCACCTCCGGATCCGCGATGTAGTAGGGTTTCTCTTGTCTGATCTGTAACAAACGAGCACACACACGCAGGTTAGAGCTTTGGATAATTAGACTCGGTGGTAATTGCGGTATTAAAACTATAGGAACGATCGTATCTCGAATACTGTCTCTCCCTGTCTCTCTCTTTCCCCCTCGGTCATCCCTCTATCGACTCTCTCGCTGTCTCGTCATTTCTACCCCGTACTGGCCGGCCACACGGTTCGCTGTTCCAGCCAGTCTTTCTCCAAGCGATTTCCTTCGCGTGCTTCCTCTTAATTGGACCCCCACTGTTCAATTCGTACGTACAGAAACGGAAACGCGTCGGTGAACGCGATGGAATTCTCTCGACGGCGCGAGCAAGTCCAACGTCGAAGACGAAACGATCGTAAGGGAGAAAGAGAGACCGACGCAGGAGATTCTCAAGCATTTTCATGGCGCCGCGTAGTGCCGATCAGAATGGAAACAAAACGCACGCGGAGAACGATGCCCGACCGGTTGCTCGCTCTTAATTGGACCCACGGAGTTCTTATTGAAAGGACGGGGGCCAAAAGGAGCGATGGAAAAAACGAGACGGACGACGAATCCCGATGGAAAGTGGTTAATCTCGCGGAATCCACGACCAGACGATGATTATATGCCCCTCTCGACACCGAAACGCGCCATCTGATTAGGCAACCCCCGCCCGCCAACGGCGAATATCGTTAAAATTCTTCCTAGCCCACGATCCACCGATTCAAAACCATAAGAATAAATTGGAAAACCATCAAGCGGAGACGTTTATTGAGACGTACTACCCGAACGCACAAAAAGCCCCATAGAACCGGGAACGATCAATCGCCGCCATCTTAAGAAGCCGATCTTCGTGATTTCTTTCGATATCTCATAAATCGTTTTATGAGAAATATTAATATTTAATTCCGCGCAACCGAGTCAAACAGCAGTTTCTGGGTAACGTGTATTTTGTCTTCGGTCAAAAGCTAGAATTCATTCTGTATCGGATAGATTTTGCATCGATCGCGGAGATCACACTTTCGTAACAAGTTAATTTGCATTAATTAGCATCGATGAAAGCACCGACAACTATTTAACCAGATAAATGGTATATTTTATTTTTTCAGTCCCATTCCGACGTATTTTCCTAATTGAAAGTTAATTCTACAGCTTCTGTTTCCGCGACGTAAGAATTTCTTAAGCAACAAATTGTTCGCGTGAACTAAGCTGGAATTAGATTCTATTTATGAGATTAACCATTTGTAAGTATAATGTCGAGATACTTTGAAAACTTGTATTTCAAGACTCTCGCGCTTCTTCTGTGTGGCAAAACTTATGCAATACCTCCTCGCGATAACATTCACTGGAAGCTATGCAGCAACTATGTTAAACGCTGCGTTTTAAAACGTAATGCACTCTCAATATTAATGTATCGGTAATTGAATCTCGCGATTCGCTGCGCTGAGCAGAATGGAATTCCAGTTTCGAGCTTTCTCGAGACACGGCGCAGAAAAATATTCAAGCGTACAATCCTTTCTCGACGATTGTGCAATTTGTCTATTTACGCGTTAATATTTAGATTGTAAAGCGAAATATTCAAGTCCTGTGTCTTCCTTACATTTTGGCTTGAATTTAAATCTTCAGAATTTCACGAATCTGAGATAAAGTTTGCACGAGTTCGAACAGACCTTGTTGGTCGAATGTTCGACGAAAACACACACCCCGGGAGAAGAATGGACCACGAAAGAACGAGTCAAAAGCAAAAATCGAATTACGGATCCTCGGTTGGAAGCGGCTGGCTCGACTCTGCGCGAAACAGAAGAGTTCTCAGAACGGGACCAGAGCGTATTCATGAGTCTGAATTCTGAATGGGAGTTCCTCGCTCGTATCGGGTGTATGGGTAATGAAGGCGTCTCGTACGCCGAACAAAAATACTGTCAACTCTTCGTAGGGGGGGACTAGTTCTTGCAGGGTCCTGTCACCGTGCTTTTTCGACGATACCCAAGCGGCCTAGCGCCGCGCAGGTAGCCACGTCGATTACAAATTGTAAGCAGCCCCGCCGGTGGCTCGTTTTGCTCGCTCTCGACCAGTCGTTGTTCTTTTTTCTACGCGCATGGCCGACCTTTGTTACCGTTAACGACAATTTCGACGTCTCTCGCCGCCACCGGATCAAAAACCAACGGAGACTGTCGGGATCTGACCGAGAGAGACTCGTAACAGTTCAACACCTGGGAAATCGGGCGCTTTAAATGCTGTTTCTTTGGAACCCCAATTCGAACATCTTTAATTCTAAATTCAAACGGTGGAGTGATATTTTACTTTGATAGTATTGTGTCGTGGGCGTTGATTTCCCATGTTCCTTCGAAAGATGAATTTTCCACGTCGATCGAGGAAAGTTGGTCTCCGTGGCGAGTGGTCGGAGCTATCGAGCGCTGATTAGACGCTAGACAGGACGGGAGCACCTCGAGTGACAGCCAATTGAGTCCATGCATATGTATAAAGCGATGCCGAGCGCTATTAACGCGACGCTGCTCGTCGTTGAATATTCCAGATCGTCCATATATTTATCGCGGCGTGAATGAAACGAAAATATCGTCTTGGACGATCGCGCCATTGACGGGAGGCGACTCTTCCGGGCTCCTCGGCGGTGGATCGCCGGCATTCCGGGGCCGCGTAACGTAAAAATAAAACGGAAATCCTCGTAATATTCGTCGGGCCCGGTGGATGATGGCATCCACTCGCTAGGCGATGCTCGCCAGGGAGAAAAATAAATATCGATACGCAGGCAACGCGGGTTTCGAGATTCCCGCGTGGTATAACTTATCCGCGCGGGAGATAAAAATATTGTGCGATAATATTTAGAGAATGCTCTCGCGTTCCGGGCACGCGGCGCGTCTGTTTAGGCCAGGGCGTCGCGTGCACGCACGACGCCACGACGCCGTGGCTCTTCGTGGTGTGCGACGATCCCGCCGAGAGATATACGAAGCAGCTGGCCGCCGATGTTGCTTCAGCCATCGCCGGTGTTGGCGAAATTTTATTTTCGAACACTCGCCATCGTCGAAAAATGATTCGACGAAAAATTGTTGACCCGTGATAATTAATTTGCAATTTTTAGTATTTGCTCGCTCTAATGGAACCCCAATTTTTACCAAATAAGAGGAAATATTCGGAAGTTCACTGATCACTCTTTAGGGTACAAGGTTGGGGGCTTTGACATAGAGGATGGTTAAGTACATTGTATTAAATTTATGGGAATATTAAGTGTACAGTTTTAATCTTCTTAGCGGAAAATTGGCCCAAATATGAGCGGTCAACTTCGATTGAGTCCGTACGCCGAAAATACATCCTATTTACACAATTCGAAAAGCTTCGGGAACGAAATCAACCGCTTAAATGGAGGGCCCGACGCGACGCCGAAGAATAAAAATGAAATGCTCGTTGGGGGGCGAGAATCGTGGCAGGGTCGACGGACTAGGGACGAAGGAATTGTCTCCCGGTGTCCCCGCGCAGTAAAACGAATTGCATCCCGCGTAAACTTTACGGCACCTTCGTTCCTAGCCCCCGGAATCGGTCCCGTGGAAATATGCCCCGTGGAACGGTACTTTCGCCGAGGAAAAGCACGCGTTGTAAAACAATACAACGGACCCGTCGAAACCTGGCCGCCCCGTGTATACGAAAAAGTTTGGCTGCCTGGCCGAGCGCGCTCGTTGACTTTGGGAAACCTTGACTTCCCGAAGATCCCTCCTGGTACCTGACCAACGAAACGATCGTAAAAACCGACGAAAACTGCCACGGGCCTGACGGACGCGCGAGAATCGCACGAGCCCGTGGAGTTAATCCGGTAATAAAAGGAAATTTCGTTTATGGTCGCCGTTTAACCGTCACGGATTGGGAAACCGAAAGTTTCCTCCCGCAGGAGAATTAGGGGCTTTCGAACCTACGTCCATTTTATTATTCGCTCACGAATTAACGTTAATTTGTACAAGTAGCCTAATTCTTCATTTTTGTTTCGTTAACCCTTTAGAATCGTCGCTTGTACGCGTTGGAATTTCTGTATTCCAAGTTTCTTTACGACTCTCTAACTGTAATAATAAATTTTCTTTATTGCGCGTAAGATTATGCAATTAGAAGTTCGATGAAGATTGAGGTACGACCGCAAACGGTTAATTCTGCTCAGGCAGTCGCAAAAAGGATGGGTAGGGCAGGTCTACGACGAAGGAATTTCGTGCGGACTTCGAGGATGACGATTGACCGATTTCTCGAGCAGAAGAAAGGCCAGGTGAGAGAGGAGCACGCGGACAAAGCGCAGAAACCGTTCGTAGCTGGACAGACAATTCGTCGACGAGGAGCTACGCCGTGAAACCGGTCCGTCGCGGGATAAGCTCGAGCCAGAACGAGCCAGAACTTCCTCGCGCAAGCTTCGTTTCGTTAATTAGCTCCGAATCGACCGGTACGCCGTTAGCAAAGCATCGATAGCCCCGGTATCGCGTCCTGGATCGTTCAACCTGCCGCGCGCAGGAATTCTGTGTAATCGGCTTTAATTGCATCGATTCGCTGGCGACCAATAAACCGGACAATAAAGCGGAAATCTATTAAATTTTTCCGCGCTGCGAAGATTTGTAACATCGGACACGGAACAATCGAGCCAGCTTTTGCGCGGGGAAACCGGTAGCGCGGATAAATCGACGATCGCGCCTCGGCGCCGACAAAAGAGACGTCGTGGGTGTCGTTATCGCGATTATGATAATCCTACTTTCAGCTTCTACGCGCTGCGCTTCGTTTAACACTCGTTTCTTGCATCAAGATGCGTTGCGGATACTTGAAATAAAATCTTCAACTTTGATAATCCAGAATATGATTTAGGTGCGAGAAAGCGAGCCTTTTGTAAGAATTTGTAACGATATAAAATAATAGACGAAGAATTAGAGTTATGGATCCTGCAGTGTGCGGAGCAGGAAATACAAATTATTTTTCTTGTTTTCCGTCACAATTATTTATACGAATTCTTACATAATTGATTGACTGTGTACCGG